ATTCGTTTTTCCTAATCAATATTCGTTTTTCCTCCATTTATTTCTCTGATCTTATTTATTGCAATTACGGTGTACTCCCAGTCTACGAAATGTTGTACATACACAAATGCACACACGAAACACGATCTTCGGCTCGCGACACGAGCTTCTTAAGAAAATCGTGTTGTAAGAATCTGTGCAAAAATATTAATCGTTACTAATAAATTCCTCTCTTTCAAAACTTTAGAATGCTGACACAAAAAATATACAGTACTTTCAATTACACTAGTGGCGCTACAGCAGCACATTATTCTTCGCATTATTTGTAATCGCTACGCAATATTTTATAGCTATAGCAGCCTACAAAAATGTTTCAAACTAACTAGCGCTTAAAAAGAAAAATGAACGATTGCATTTTCAATGTTCGCTGAGAACGTGACCAGCGCCATCTAATTCTCTATCAGAGGGGAAAATACTAAAGAAAAAATTGAGGCTGATTTAAAAAAAAAAGCCTCTCTTTCACGGAGAATTATGCGTAAACCTTCCAAATTTTCGAAACATCGTACTTGATCTATTTAAACGCCTGTTTTTGAAGAACAAATTTCATTAAAGAAAAATATTTCTATCTGAAATATTGTAGTTGTAAGAGACGTCGAAAATATTTGAACATTTGAAACTTTTGCAAGTTCATATATTTCATTCATCAGGGGATCCGTGCCATTTTTAAGCGTCCCTTAAGCTATCCGATGTAAACATTTAATTTAAAAAATTGCGGCATTGAGAAAATTTTGAAAATGTGTGTGAGGCTTCTTGTAAAATGCCTCTAAAATCAAAATATCCGTTTAAAACTCGCAGGCCATCGAGTTCGTCCTGATCGATACAGGAATATCAATTTTGAGAAAATCATCTGAACGCTTTAACTGCTAGCGTTGGCCATAGACAGCTTTACCGACAATCAATTTTTCGGTATCAAGAAACCACAAAACGTAGACTCTTGACGTGTTAGAAGAAGTAATGTGCTACATAAGGGAATAAGATTTAATACCAGGACCGAGTAACACAAGTTTTTCTGTTGAGAAATCGCCTATTTTTGCCGCAGCATTACAACGCTTTCTCTTGACTTTAAAAGTAGTAAGGTGAGAATGTAAAAAACAAATTTACAAGATCTTCAAATTAAAATAACAAAAGAGCAGAGAGAAAAAGAGAGCGAGAAAAAATAAAGAAAATGAGAGAAGAAAAGAGAGGAAGAGCGACAGAAAAATAAAGAGTGGAAGAGAGATGGAGTGAAGGAAAGAGTGAGATGTGAAAGAAAGGGAAAAAGAAAGAAAAATAGAGAAAAGAAGAAAATGTGGGTTCACCCTTCTTCTTTAATTCGTCCTTAAACTCGACCCCGGCCAAGTCCTCGCTTCTCCTCTCCGCCACCCGAAGTTAAACCTGCTTCCGGAGCGCGCGCAGGCATAATAGTGGCTCGGTCTCGTCTGCGGTGGCGGTGGGGCGCGGGTGCGTGGCGAGTGTTGCTGCTGACACCTCTCACGCGGCCCTGCCCTGTAATCAGCGCCGTCTAATCCCGTCGCTGGGCGTCGAACGCCGTCGTCGCGATGACTGCCGGTAATTTGAGAGCGAGCAGCTGCTCTGGGCCGCGACGCGCCGAGTACTCGTAACGACCGCAGGAATCCGCGTGGCGGCCGGGCGGGCGCCGGAAAATCACTTGCGCCCCGCGGAGGACGCGCCGTCCGCGCCAAACGACCTCTTGCGCAAACGACTCGATTGGCCGGCGATTTGGACGCCGCGCCGCCAGACCACACGCGCGCTGCTCGCCCGTCCGCGCGCACGCGTCAACCTACACAGCACGCACGCGATCGGCGGTTGGTTGGTTCATTAGGGGTTCGGGGCGTGTCAACTGGTAAGGTCGTTAGTCCCGTAAGTGTAGTACATTTTTTGTCGCGTTGTGTGAGGGGGGTGGCGGTAATCGTTTCCCACTGGATGGCGAGATCCAGCGACGACCTACCGTCGGCTAAGAGGGTTTTCCCAAACCAGGTATCTCCCACCAGTGGGGGCACCGCCCCGGCCGGGACAAACTAAGCTCCCGACAAGCGTGCTAGTGTAGAGCATGTGAGTGTGTTTCTAGGTAAGGGGTGAGGATAGCGTAAGGGAGAGGTAGGAAAGATCGCGCGCAGTCCGAGGCTCGTTTGTTAGGGTACTGCACCGGCGTTCGCCTGGTGTTGTGAAACAACGGAAAACTACCGATCAGAGCAGCCAGCCGCTACAATTTTCCTCTAGACATGATCTCCGAAACACGAAGTTGAGACTGATCTGGTACAAGCGCTCAGAAGTGCATTCATTCATAAGCAGGTTAAGCGCTTGAATAAGAGCCCCCAGAATTGTTTAATTTACATTGTGTGTTACGTCCTAAATATGTTAATATTAATTTTTTACTTTGCGAATATTATTTGTTTCTGCATTCATTTTTACTACATTCAAGTAGGTCGAATATTTCAATATTATTAGGGGCACCATAGTTTGCTCATTAAATATGTCCCTGCTTGCTACATAGCCCCTATTTCTCGTCGTCGTAAACATTGTGGTGAACTTGGACGCGTTTAGAGTGGTATTTTGAACAACGGTCCCGTTGTTTTTACTATTCATGAGATTACTTCCTCCAGATTCTTTATTGAATCATCACTCATTCTTTCTCCAATCATTCCCCACACTCATACCCAACCTCACACAGTATGCGAGTGTAACATCGGGAGATTCCTCTCGACAAAAATGAATTAGAAACGTTTGTTTCAATTCAGAAATTCAAAATAACGTACAAAATATTTTTATATTCATGATGACGCCTGTGATATTGCTAGATGTGGGCAAACAGTGGTCGCTAAATCATATCTGTGTTACTTCGAAGATCAAGTTTAAGGTAATAGAAATATTTATCAAGATTATCAAATTATTTCTTTAGTTTATAAAACACAAAACTTACTCGTTTGTCCTACGAAATATTCAAATTCACTTTTTAAATACAGAAATGGATAATTTGTTTGGTTAGTGAATCATTAAAACCTGGTAATTATTGATTAATTGCCGAGCCAATTGGATGTAAAGTCGAACAGAAAATATAAACGTCAACTTTGCCTCAAAATCATTTATCTCATTATTGTACCCTTACATGCAATATTCTAAAGTCTAAAGGTCCATTTCGAGGGTATAGTCTATCCACACGATCAAAAATCGGAATTTGCCTTGGAAACTATTTAATAGACCTCTAGATTGAAACTCTTTTCTAGTTCTTGCCCTTAAATTGTGCCAGATGGAAAAAGAAAATTCGTTTCTGTATAACTAGCACTGGCTTTCACAATACCATGCATTATTTACATAAACGTGTTAGACATACTGAAAATGGCTTACGGCCAAAATCGATATGATTATCAACGCCACATAGGCATATATTGAATGAATATTTTTTATTAAAAATATTATTTATGCGTAAAAGAATTCACAACTGAAGTCCTAAGTGCGTTCATTTAATACGCGTATACATTATTACCTATATAATCCTTGTATTTATGAAACAAGTAGGATCCAAAACTCTAAGAATCAGGTGCGCTGTGATAGATATTAATGTTGAGTCCCACCGTCAGGCATTGACAGTTTGCACCCCTACGAGTGCCAACCGGCGAAGTTTGGTATTTCGATGTTCATCACATGGCCTGGGTTTCCGTCGGTTGCCTAACGATTTAGGTAGAAAATAATAATTGGAAGATTTTATTTTAATCCTTTTAAGGATGCACTGTGTTAAAACCAACCGTTATGTGCTAAAATACTTAGCTGTTTGGAGTTATTTGTACGTGGCGCATTGGCCCGTGTACGGGCTATGGCCTACCAGAGACGTCCCGGACAAAGGTTCAATTTAAAAGAAGTTACCATCCGCCACTCCTGTACCGTGAACGAACGTGATTCACATTCCTCACATAATTATTTGTGGTCTACACCAATTAATTTATAAGTTTATTCCAGAAAACCAACGAAATTGATTATTCCCATATAAGTAATTTTAAGGACTTATGAGGTTAAAATAAATCAATGTTTAGTTTTTAAACCCACAACACCTAGAATAACCATCATGAATACTCTTCAATCCTTTCATGAAAATATCCACAAGGATTATAGTTGATTCTTACGTAAAAAGAATATTAATACTAATCTGGATGTGTTTAGAGACTCCGATAGTTCTCCCCACAAGCCAATTTTTGAAATATTCACAGGCTTTGTAAAGAAACCTTCACCCACCATTGCAGTCTTGTATAATAGATGCGACTCCCACTCTACCAAAGATTTCCCAAGCAATTACCTCCGCTCATCATAAGCAATGAATACATATACCCACACTCTCCAGACATGCTCTAAGAGTCTTAAGATGATCAATTATTTCCTTGTACACCAATACATACAGTTGAAATGGATCCGAATGACACTTTTACACATTTCACAACAATAGCACCTTAAATAACAGTAAACACATATGTAAATAACTGCTGTGTTATTTTTGAGAGTGCCCTAGTATTAAGTATTTGTGTACATACAAATACTTATCAAAAACCCTTGAATAGAAATGGAGTAATGCACATACAAAAATATTATTGTAAATTCAATTAACAAGATATATAATAAATAAGTTAACATTTTCGCTCCATATTTAACCTCAAATATCACATCGGATTGGTATTTCTGTAGTTCGAGTCTAGCTCACTTGCTACAATATAACACTAACTCATACACGTTGGAAAAGTTAATTTGTACTGGCGATAAGGAGAAAGTTTTATAAAAATTCGGAGGAAAACGGAACACCTTGACTTGAGTTAACCTTAACGCAAGTGCACGGTCGACGCACGTGGCAACCCCGTCAATCTTCGAAGTCGTACACTGATTTACGCCCTTAACCTACATTATGCAGTTCTTCCGAAACCAATCGCATATTTTGAAATGTTCACCGCGCTACGAGAATTAGAAAATATGTCACTCACATTACGCATCCGACATGTTGACGCTGGCGATTCTTTGGAACTCCGTATAAGCGATCTTGCCTCTTGTGTCGTTTAAGCGTTGGTTGAAGTGCCCAGGAGTAGCATGTCTGGTTACTTCGTAGCAAATGGCGTGCTCCCGCAGAGGAAACACTATGTTCTCTTTTCGAATCCCAACCCCCTCCCCCTTGCTTCGGAACTGCCCCTCTACGCTCGGCTTCCTCCCTCTCGTGAGTGGGTTGGTACTGCTCGCGCAAATTTGCTTGAATGATGGATTGAAGAAACGTGGGTAGAGTGGGGGTATTAGTTACGCAATCGGCCACTAGATATTATGAAGCAATGTTAATATCTGGAGAATCAGTCATTTCTTTCGCGACACTCTCAATAATTTACGTTTCAACGTCCTTAGGAGTTCGAGGTATCTCCCGTGATGGATCTTCACCTGTTTCAGTCATTTCTTTAGATTTTTTGAAGAAAATCCCGGACAGAAGTTCTCGTCTTCAACAGAAAATAGTTACTATTTCGCGATAGTGAAGATGTGTTTGGAATGTTGTCATCAGTGCTCGCTGCGAGATTTTGGCTTCAACTGTTTATTGTGTCAGAGAGGGGGAGCAAGGTCATCGTTCAAGAAAAGTTGCGCGATTAATACTCGTAGCTGGCTCGCTTTCCTTTTCCTCCTTGAGGGTCGCATGGGGGTTTGTGGATTGAGCCCTACAAGCCCGCTAGGGCACTCACAGTTAAAATTGACTAGTCGTGGGTACTCGAGGTCGCTAAGGCTGAAGAGCCGAAGTTGTCTCGCCTTGATTTGAGATTTATCCATGAGTCACTGAAGTCTGTGGCATTTCCCTGCAATTTGCAACTATGGTTTAACTAGACTTATTGGATCGCAATCATTAAAAAAAGTGTATCGCTTGTTTGAACACTTGTAATCCTATTATTATTATTATTATTATTATTATTATTATTATTATTATTATTATTATTATTATTATTATTTACCTTTTTGATATTGAGAGGTAATATTGAAAATACTACAAACGCCCCAAAATTACGATTACAATCATACAAAAACCTACCCAAAACTACGTAAACAAATTAGTGGTGCTACATAAGGAAACAGATGTTCTCGCCCCCTAATAGCAGAATTGAAATATGTCTTAGGAGAATATTACAGAAGATTAAACACATGCAATTTTCAAAGTTTGGAGCCGCTTTTCAGAAAATATAGTTGGAGCGTTTCTGGTAATGTGCAATTTTGATCTCAATTTTACAGAATAGTGTAGAGTTTTCGAGAAACTTGATCAGAAATAATTTAAAGTATTCGTTTTTTACAAATGAAACAGTATGTAAGAAATGCCAATAATGTAATATAACCGATGTGAAGTACATTTGTGTAATTTAAAAAATCAAATGAATAATTCAAAATGGCTTCTGGCAATCTGGTTTTTAAAATTACCTTTATTTCACGCAAAAGTATTAAAAAACTTAAGCTTAGAAATATTTATTTATTTACTTTTGCAATTTGTGGATGTGTTCACGCCACATAATCCCTATGCACGCCACAAAACAACATATACGTTTGAACTACAAAACTGAATGCCCTCGTTCCCGCGAGAACCAGTTTTCTTTCCCTTCGTTCACCGATCTCACGAGGTTTCTTTGTTAATGGGGAAACGATGAAGAATAAGCTCATCGAAGCTATGATTTGTGTTGGCGTGAGCGGGAGCTTGATATTCAGATTAATAATTAAACAGTTCATGCTTCCGGGAACATTATCGTCTGCGATCATTAGTCCAGTAAGTGTAGTGACAATTTTATCGCGAGCGTTGGTGGTATTCTTGGCGAGATCCGCGTCGACATTCATGCCAGTTCGCGGATCTTCCCCATCCAGGTATCTTCCACCAGCGGTAGTCTCCCAAAGTGTGGGGGGGTGTAGTGTAGGATAGTAAGTGTAACTGTGTGTAAGTAAGAGGTGAGGATAGGATAATAAAGGTAAGGATGGACCTCACGCGGTTCGTTGTCCGTTTGTTACGATACTGCTCCGGCATTCGCCTGATGTTAGACGGAGAAACCACAGATCGCTATTCACAAATTTAAACATAAGGATTAAATTTATTCATAAACATAAATTTATTCAAATATTGTAGACATTTTTGTATCGTTGGCAGACTGTTCTAGCAGCCGCCAGAAAACACATGAATCGCTGAGAGGAGCGAACAAGACTAAAATCAATAGCCGACTCACCTGAAGTTGTTCGATACAGAAGTCAGTTTCGCCAACTACCTAATCTCAGCGAGGAACAACGGAGATTTCAATGATAACACACCACTCAACAATGAAACACTCCTTCCGTCAGCTTGTCCCCTACAAGACTTGCACATCTGCAGCTTACTTGCGCATCCACTCTTCTCTTTCTTACACCCCGCCCCCTTGACTTCTCACTCGCACACAATTGTAAGGCACTACGCTTGTCCTCTGGCTCTCGTATTCCTCAGATTCTTTCCCTGTCAACCCACCCGACAACCACCCACTCTCCAGCTTACCCGTCCGTCTTCTGTCCTCACCTGCTTTCCAGCTCACTTGCCCTTCAGCTCCCAGGACAGCCGGCCACCCGTTTACCCATACAAAGGATATAACCCACCCGCGCAGATTCATGACGAAAGATGTAGCTACTCCACCAACGGTGATGTTATGAATTTATGATTTAAATTACTTTTTCGGCACTTTTAGGATCCCAAAATCAAATATTGAAGAAAAATTGCGGAGTGTCTCTCCTAACTTTACGATACCTATCTAGACAAACACACACACAAGAAACTTCGAATACTACTCTTTTCACATAAACATTCCTGCGTAATGTCCCCTTGCAATCCCTTTGATTACCTCTGCGGCCATCGTAAATGTCTTGGAAGAGAGCTAACTACAAAATTTAATTTCTTTTTTGCTGCAAATCTTCAGAAGACAACAGTGATCGTAAAACAGCAGACTTGCATTTCGAAAGCTTCTTCGCGTTACGACTGCTGCTAAATAGTTTCATTTGCAATATTCGTGTATAAAACGACGTAAATACCCACTGTCACCAATTCAGTGTCACACTAATGGACTCGCTGGACCACAAAAGAAACTAGTGATGCAACAGCTCGTACTTTCTCCCATTATTAGTAACTGTCACGTAATATTTTAATACCACTTCAACTTTCATTTGTGTATTTTTCTTACAACTTTAAAGATAACATCAAACTAATGTTAACATCCTGTTATTCATTGCATTTAGCTCTGACAATTCAAAAAGTTTCTTTTTTTAATTTGAAGCGATTTTTTTAGAAAACCTTGTTTTTAAAATTGACTTATTTCACGCAAAATTACACGAATACAACTTATATTTGGAAAAAAAATTAAATTTTTACTTAAATATCTAGTTTTAAAGAATAGAATTCATTAGGAAAAAGAACGCCGAAAAAATAACTTTTGCAATTTCCAAAAATTCTGAGAGTTCAATGAAAATTACACATAAGACATTTTGTAAGCGTCCTTTACTCTATCTGAAAAAAATTAAGTCTTTTTAAAAACAATTGCAACTGTCGTTAGGGCTTCATGTAAAGCACCTTCAAAAAACAAAATATACGTTTCAAATTCACGGGATCATTGCACTAAGATTGATCCTGTAATGTTTTGGTGAAAACTACATTTTAGCCGTTTGTGTTGTTCACAGACGAACAGATGTTTTACCATAAACCAATTTTTCGGTATCAAAGACACACAAAATGTGGATTTTGACTATGATATAAGCTAGATGACTAAGATATATATATATATATATATATATATATATATATATATATATATATATATAGAGAGAGAGAGAGAGAGAGAGAGAGAGAGAGAGAGAGAGAGAGAGAGAGAGAGAGAGAATTAATTTACTGCAAATATGAAAAAGAACGATCTATTATTCGGTATCAGGAACTTTCAAAAACGACTTGTGCCATCGCAGTATTTCATAACTTTTTTATATGACGTAAGAAGTACGGAGGAAGAAACAAAATTATTTGATACAGTTAATTTCTTGAAAAGTTCATATTGAATACTTTCTGTAATTAAAAAGTGGCATTCAAACGATTACATTTGAAATTAATTTCTCTCTGAATAAAGAAAGATTGCAAATCTCGTCGAAGTAATGTTAACTGACTTACGATCTCGAGAAGGCCGAGTTCAAAACTTGAGTACAATATCAAGTAAAACTAAATAGCAAAGGTATAGTAATAGTTTTCCACTCGTATCTCAGTAGAGTTGGTATTTCACAATTTGCTGTACCTACTTGTTCTACACCACAATTCGTTCATGCCCCTCGAGATTGAATCAGCATTGCCAACCTGTGCATTCGTAAACTTACAGGCACTGTCATCGATTGAATTTCATCGATTATCTTCATAAATACGATTTATGTAGTTTATAAATAACTCAAATAATAAAACTAAAACAAAAGAGAACAAAATAATTGTCTTGAACAATAAATGAAATTGCCATTCGAATGTACATTCGCGAGCAAGGGATGTACAAGGTCCTTTTTACAATGAAAGAAAAGTTGTCAATTTTAGGTAAGAGAACTTCCATTTCCCGTAAGAGTGTTAAATAAAAGGACAAATAGGACAGTACAAAAAAATATTTACCAATTCTAAAGATGGTTTTGAAGAAATATTATGAAACGTGTTTAATTCTTCAAAATGTGAATATGATATCATAGATGACGTACAGTCCACACAATACTGCAAACTAATATTGGCTCAATCAACGACATTGCTATTTGAAGAGCTAGCGTACTCTTCACATAATTATGATTGTCTTTCGAGAAAAATATACATATTTCTCACAACTTCTGGCTGGCTGAAACTACTTGACTTTTCTATTATCTGATGAATTGAAATAAGATAACTGAGAAGTAATGTATGATACTCTTTGAGAAATATAGGCTACATATTTCATTAATATTTTGTAGATTCATCCCCGTAATCGTGTTCATGAAAGACATTTGAGATTGTCTATGCTAAAAATGTTTAATCGGGAATTTCCAAATCAAACTATAAAACGACTTCTAACTCCTGTAATGATTTCCTGCATCCTGAAAATGAAAAGAGAAAATTAATTCTAGGGGTCTATTATATTCATTACATTAAAGAATG